CAGACCCCCAGGAGAGCACCCGTGTGGGGCTGGGGTGGGCAGAGCCCCCCGTGGGCTCCTCGTGGACCACAGCTGAGGGTTGGGAGGGGGGGTGAGCAGGGTCTGGGGCCCCAAAACTCCATCTGGAGCCCCAAAACTTGCATACCCGAGGGTCCTGCTGAGGCTGGAAGCATCTCCTGGTGACCACTTGGCTCCTCAGGGATGTGGGTCTCCTTAGGTCCTGGTGGGTCAGGGGTCCCCAGCAGCTCCTCGAGGGGCCACAACTTGCTGGGGGTCCTGCAGCCTCCCCAGCCCCACGGGTGTTTGCAGAGGGGTGGGAAGGGGCTGAGTTGGTGGGTTCTCAGAGCCCTCCATGGGGTCCTGGGAGGCCGAGGTGGGTCCTGGAGGAGGTTTGGCTCCAGGTACTGTTCCTGTGGGTCCCAGTGTGGTGAGAACCTGGTTTGCTTTGCATGATGAAGGGCAGTTCAGGTCCTCACCCTGCTTCTCCAGGCAAGAGCTGTGGTTCAGGAGAGCTGGGGAGGTGACACCCCGGGCTGGTGTGATGCTGGTGGTGACTGTGGGAGCCACAGATGTGGGGAGGTCGGTGTGAGAAACCACCTGGGCACAGGGTGGCCAAGAAGAGACTTCCAACCCCCTCCCCCAAAAAAATGCAAAAGCAGGATCCATCCCACCAGAGGGATCCATCCCACCAGGACTTGGGCACCGAGTTGCTCCCCTGGGAGCAGTTTGGGAAGGAGGAGGAGAAATCCAGACCCAGCTGCTCCTTGGTGCCAGATCTGAGCTCCTCCAGCAGAAACCTGGCTTAGGGGGGACACTTTGCTCCAAGAGCTGACCTAAGGAATCTCAAAGCACCCCTGGGAAGTCCCCCCAGATGCTTGAGCTGTGTGTTTGCAGAGTAGGAACTGGTGGCCCCAAAGCCCTGCTCCTGGTGGAGCCCACGAGGAGCTGGTTTTAGGAGCCCAAAGCTGGTGGAGAAGTGCCTGGGTGAGCAACCAGGGTCTGGCTGTTGGCTGCAGGTGCAAAGGAGCTGTGAGGACCATCCCTGGTGCCCACCAGGCAGCAGGGCATGCGGGAGGGGACCAGGGGTGGCTTCAGTCACCTCACTTCATGGGGACGTTGGTCTTTTCAGAGGGCATCACTGCCTTCCTGGGGGCTCAGAAGGTCCTGCTGGTGACCAGTGTCCAGCTGCCCGTGAGATCCAAGTACAAGGACTATGTCTTGGTAGGTGCAGAACCATTCCTGGCTCCCCGGGCCAGCCTCTCGGTGGCCCCAGCAGGGGACAAGGGTGGCTCAGGTGTGTCCCCGTGTCACGCTGGTGTCCCCACAGGTGCTGACGCCCTGGAGAGCCTACGTGGTGCTGGTGACACTGCCAGTGAGGGTGAGTGCTCCTGGGGGGGCCCTGCTCCCCGTGCTGGGTCACCTGGGGACACCCCACGGGTCACCTGGGGGTCTGGGACACCCCCAGGAGGAGGATGAGGAGGAGGATGGGCTGAAGGGGAGGGGGTTTGGGAAGGCTGGGGAGGGGGGGGGGGGCATGACCAGGGCACTGGGGGCCCCCCGGGGGGC